ACACACACACACACACCAACACCAGTCTCATCCTCGTCTGTCCTTGTCTTTCATCTCTCTTTCCATTTACATTAATATCACTCCCTTTTCTTCCTTCTCTCATTCCTCTCATACTTGGTGATTTGTCTTCTCTTTCTCCTTTCTCCTGATCTTGACCTCCATCCTCTCTCTTCACGTAGTTAAACATCATTCTCCTCTTCCTCATCTCCCCCTGTCTTCCTACATCAGTATCATTCTCTCTCCTCTCCTCTCCTCTCCTCAACAGTCATTTCTTTCCAGCAGTCCAGTCTGAAAGATCAGCTCCTCTGAGAGTCAAGGCAAATATAGAGCATATTACTGCTTCTCTTGCTGCCCCCTCCCTGTTAACACATTCTTTTTATATCTCTGGTTCTGTCTCCTTTCCTCTATATTGCAGAGGAACAGGGTTTCTTTTCAACTCTCGCACGAATACTATGCAAACTTTTGAAGTGTCACAAATACAGCTGGTTATCAAATCTTAAAACTTTTTGAAATCCGACCCAAATGAATCAAGTTGTCATCGAATGCGTCAGATGAAGGCATGGTAGCGGTGTGACTTTAGAGACGGCAGTGCTGGTGTTGTTGGGTCTGGTTGGTATATCCAATCCATCCAGTCCATCTACATTATGCAGACATTTGTGACTCCCAGTAGATGAATCCTAATGACTTCCCCCTGATCCCTGACTTTTTTTTCTTGTAATTTGTTCAATTAGGGATTGAACCAGCAACCTTCTGGTCATAAGTCTGCTTCTTCATGAGAGAGACTGAATTTTTTATACAAACTTTTTTTACTACTACATATTTATTGTTTTTCCACCTGCACCTTTATTTAGAAAAACTATTGTCAGTTTCAGGAAAATAGGAATGGTAATTTTATATTGTGAAAACTATATATTGTGACTTTAATTTAATTTAAGAAACCATCTCTGTCAGTCTCTCCCTGGCTTTCTTTTGTAGAATTTAGAGTCTACTTTGTGTCTCTTAGATCAAAATAAAGCAGGGTAAAACTATCCACATTAGGGGACTAAGTAAGAGAAGGAGGAGCGATGGGATGGAGGGAGGAGAAATGGAGAGGTTAATGGAGAGACGAGGGGGAGCGAGGGAGGAGAAGAGCTAATAAAGCAGGGATAAGGAGGCTTAGAAAGTAATGATAAAATATAGTGATGTCATAGGGTTGATTTTGCACTGCGTGTGTGTGTGTTGCTTGTTTTCCTGTGTGGGTTTGTGTTTATGTGTGTGTGTTCTTGGCTGATGTCCTTGACTATATGACTGATTATATCATTGCTTCAGGTCCCTGTTAGAGCAGACAGACAGACAGACAGA